TTAGGAGTTTGGATTTTCAGCTACCATCTTCCATACTCTTCCACCACAGTGGACTGCTTACCACGGGTCCAAAGCAACGTGGCCAAGCAACCATGGGCTGAAACCATGACCCCAAATAAACTTTCCCTCCTTCTAAATTGTTTATCTCAGGTATTCTGCCACATTCTGTCACAGTGATAGAAAGCTGACTAACACATTCAGCAGCAAAGACTGGATTTGTTTCCAGGACTGGTAGCCCATGTTCTTCCCCTATACCAGTTGTCTCTTCAAATGCCCTGGTTTACGTTTTCAAGGACAGTTTGAATTCAAAAAAAAAAAAAAAAGCAAGGCCGACTTCTCCACGAAATTTTTCTTTCTTCTCATGTTAAAGTAAAGGCTTCTAACACTCCCATTGCTATGGGTCAGTCACGGCCACACCGCTGATTCATCATTGAACCCACGGCCTGCCAAGGAAGCCTATGAAGAAGGAAGGGGGAGATGAGGCTGTGCCTTCCCCGGGGCATCTGGCAAGCAGAGGGTGTTGTAAAATTCTGGCAGCTTTTCTTGACAACTGAATCCCAGAAGGACTTTCCAAGAACTCCAGCAGAGATGAAGGGTTCACGCTCCAGGATCTCTGTAACAAACACAGCCTCAAACCTCAGAGCGGAAATGGTAAAAGACAAAGGCAAGTGGGCCCCTAAGATCCAACAGCCTCCCTCTTTTCACAGGGACCCAGCTAGTGTCAGCGAACTAAGAGGAGGTCGCCCAGACCTGACACTCCCCGGCAGAGACATCACAGAGAAACAGTAAAAGGGCTACACACAGCCGAGCAAGAACATACAGACGTGAGGAGACACTGCTATCAACTACCTCTCATCCCCCAGGGTAGAACCTACTAAGGCCCAGTGCTCTGGTACAGAATTTCAAGTCACCCTACCCAAAGACTCACCAACCCATGGAGAGCCAGGCAGGGAACTATGACATCCTGAGGTCCAAGCTCTTTTGTACTGCCTACTGATGTACCACTTCCTGTAAGCATTTGTGGGACAAAAGGTGAGGGAATTCAAACTCATGTCTTTATGCCTCATAGGACAAGAGTGTTGAATAAACAAACGAGACCACTGCATGAGCAGCTCAGAGTCAGCATCTTGCTACCTGCTACTCGGTGGTACCTGGGCCGGGTATGATGGCTCTGGAACTCTGTGTTCTAGTCCACTGCCCACCAAAAGAATCACTAGGACCAAGTGTTAGCTACTTTTCTTGTCATCGTGGCCAAATACCTGACAGAAATCACTCAAAGGAAGACAGGTTTATTCTGGCTTGTAGTTTGGGAGGACACAATCCATCATGGCAGGACATGTGTGGGGGCTGGAGTAGGCTGGTCTGTGAAAATGGAAGCTTGAAGTAATAGGTTTCATAAAGTATGGGTCAGGAGTCTGGGGGCTCAGGCCAGAAGAGGGCCAACCTAGAGTGACTTCCTCTATTGCCATGCTATCTGCAAGGTTCTGCAAACTCCCCAAAATAAAAATACCCAGAGACTTCAAACACATTAGCCTATGGGGGACATGACACACCCAAACTATAACGGAGCACCATAGCATCCAATGCCTTGGCTCTTAGGGAGGGCACTGGACTGGAAGACAGTTCTGGAGCTATACCTGACCCAAGTTATCAGGGTCAGCAGGTAGCAGCAGGTAGCTGATGCTGGCTCTGTGAGCTGCACATCCAGTGATTTCCTCACTGGTCTTGTCAACCCCTCTTTCCCACAGAGTGTCAAGTGTCTGTTACATAAAGGTTTCCTGCTGGAAAGATACCCAAGGATTGAATCGAGGACGCAATAGGAGCTGGGGTTAAGGTGAGGACCTTGGGCCTCCAGCATTCACAGAGTAAACCCAAAAGCACCTGTCTCCACTATAGCCATCAGATGGCATCTGATCAGGGAGTAGTGGACACATTGGGTACATTTAGACTTGCAGTATGTCCCCACCGTGGCAGGCTATGCCAGCATGCCAGCATCCTGCCTGTGAGCATCAGAGCACCATCTCAGAAGGACAGATTCATAGAGGAGTTAGACTCCAATCTGATCAGAAACCATGAGACTCAGAACGTCAGTTGGAAGGGGTTTTAGTCAGTCAGTCATATAACCCAGCCACATAGGATGGCCAAAATTCGTAAGATAGTTAGCACGGTACCTACAGCAGAGCCAGAAGGAAGCCTGCTCTAAGCACAAAGCTACTGTTCGGTAGGACTCTACTGGGGGAGTCTATAATAGTAGAAGCCAAAGGCAGAGTGTTGTAACTGGCCAGCTTTGAGATCTACCATCCTCAATCACCACCAGGACCCAAGACCATGTCCCGATGACCACTCTCTGGCTACTAGAGTTTGAGTACTTGTTTGTTTTGTTGTATTGAGATGGAGTCTTATTCTAGGATGTCCTCAAACTTACTATATAGAGCAGGCTGACCTCAAACTAGCAATTTTCCTGCTTCTGTCTTCAAAGTGTTAGGATTAAAGGCGGGTACCATTCTGCCTAACTCTATAGTTTTAACCTAAATGGCCCCAAATGCTCATCTATGAAGGACTTGGGCCCCAGGTTGGCACTATGAGAGGGAGTCAAAACTTTAAGAGGTGTGACCTAGTGCGAGGTCTTTAGATTACTAAGAGTGTGTCCTCAAAGGGACTATGGAATCCTGATCTCTCTCCCTTCTTCTGTTTCATTTCCCAGACACGAAGTGAAAAGTTTGGCTCTACACTACAGCCATTACAAGATACTGCCATGGGTGCCCAGTAGTGAGTGAACCAGTCTTGAACTAAAGCCACAGATCATGGGAGTCAGAGTGAGCCTTTCTTCTGTAAGCTAATGACATTGAGTGTTTTGTATAGTAATAGAACCCAACTAAGACACTGGCCGATATCTCCCTTCCTGTGAGAGTCCAGGATCTCCTCCACCAGGAACACACACCCCCAACCCCCAGTCAGGGTCATCTAAAGGAGGCATATTTCGTCGAAAGGAAGTTAGCAATCTGGTCTTCCAAGTGCACGAAAATAAACAGACATTCCAAGCAGCCATCCAAAACTGATGGCCATCCAAAACTCAACCCTAAGACACAAACTTTATTTCTTGGTACATAATTTCTCTACCTGAAGGAATTATTCTTCCCTCCTTCGAGGAATGACAATAACAAAACATATTTGATACGCATTCTCCTAGAGACTAGGAAGGCTTTTGACTCACACTTTGAAACTGTGCTTCTTAACAAGCAGGGACTCTGCCCCCACAGGGGACACTTGGCAGTGTCTAAAGACATTGGTGCTTTTCACACCTTGGGAATGTGTAAGCGCATCTAGAGACCACTCTGGGGACAACGTTTAACATTCTCCGATGCAAAAAAAAAAAAAAAAAAGTGCTGGCAAAGCCAAGATGTCCCCATCACTGCTATTAAGAACCAGGATTCAGAGCAATAGGAGTCTTAGACGGTTCCAAAGCCCGAGGCCCAGATCCCTGTACTCAGACTCAGAGAACAAGCTTCAGGCTGGCCACTGGAGCTTGTAAGAGCTGACCACACACACACACACACACACACACACACACACACAGGGTGGGGGGGAGAAAAAGATGGAGAATGTTGGCCCCAGTGCCTCCTAAATGCAGGAAAAAAGAACAAGAAGAAAGGGTCACAAACCTCATCTAGTTTTTTTTCTAGTGTTTTTAATGTATATATGTGTGCATGGACATTTGTGCATGTACAGGTATGTGCATGTGTGTTCATCTATGTACCGAGGCCAGAGGATAACCTTAGACATTATCCTCAAGTATCCAATCCACCTTCTTGGGGATGGGGTCTCTTTCTGGTCCAGAGACCACCAATTAGGCTAGGATGGCAGGTCAGCAAGCCCCAGGGATCCTCCTGCCTCCACCTCTCCAGCCCTGGGGTTACAAGTTTACACCACCATGCTCAGCATTCTTACATGGGTGCTGGGAACCAAATGCAGATCTCCACGCTTGCAAAGCGAGTGCTTGGCAGGCTAAATCATTCCTCTACCCTCATTTCGCTCTCAAGCATGTACCCAACAGCAAAGCAAGAGCCCAGCACGGTCTTTCTCATTCCTCAAGGAATCACCCAGGAGTAGGCAATTCCTACCTCAGATGCCTCTCTGGTAACTCAAGCAGTGGATAGAAAACCCAGAACAGACTGGATAGTGATGATACCCCTCATCTGAACTGGTAAGGACCAGGCATGTTCAGTATTTCAGATAGTCACTGGATTGGGGATATTTGCATAACTATAAATGAGATTTCATAGAGATGGGACTCACACACAAAACTGGTTTGTTTCCTGTACACTTGATGCACACAGCCTGAAGGGAATCTTACACAATACTTTCAGTAACCCACTTTTTCACTTTGCCCCATCACATAAGTTGTAGGGTTTGCCTTTGTGTTACCATCTCAATACTCAATGTAGTCTAAACTTTGGAGCAATGTTGGATTTGGATGCCTAGGATGAAAGAACCTAAATCTATACCAGCAAACATGACCAGTATTTCCAGAACATACCCAAGAACCCTTCAACATGCCACGTGATTTACAACCCACTGACTCACTACTAACCCAAACAGATAGGGGCTTCTTCACTCACAAGTGGGGAAACTAAGGCACGAAGAGATTGGTCAACAACCTGACCAGAGAAAGGGCCCAACAGAAGATCCAGAGAAGCAGAAAGCTAAACGGGGGTGAGATTGGTGGCAAAACATCAGAGTGGCACCAGGTTTCAGATTCAAGATCTATCCATGACCACCAAGGAGCAGGCAAAAGCTTAGCTCCAGGCACTACTGAAGGAGGGAGGCCGGGTGGCTTCCTCAGGGCCAGGAGCTAAGGCTCAAAAATGGTAAGGAGCAGGCAGGGGAAGAGTGAAGTCAACAGAAGACCAGGAAAGACACCTGAGTCCAAGAGATGAATGACCCATGCCACAGGGATGAGAGGGGAAAAAACGAGTCAAGCACCAGCGAGGATCACTTACCTGAGAAGATTGAAGCAAGCCTGAAGATGTCGGAGAGGCGCGAGGTCACGGGTTCATAGGGGGAAGCTTCATAGAACTCCTCACCTGGAAGAGAGGCGGGGCATGAGACACAGGCTCCTCCTCTCCGGTAGAGCCCTCCCATCAGACAGCTACCCGACCTGAGAAACTTCCACAAACACAACCCAGGCCAGCTAGGATGTGAGAGAGGCCAGCTCTTGCCGAATTGGAAAATGCTGTGCAGGCAAGTTAGGGGTGAAAGTTCAATGTGTAGAGACAAGATATTTGTCACCAATCAGAGCAGGTGTGACTGCCTCACACGTGACTTCCCTGCAGGACTCACCCTCTTCAAGGGAGTCTAGGAGGAACAACAGCCTTTGGAAGGTCAAGTGCAAACCACAGAATCTGGAGACAGAGGCCCTAATAAAACTTTCAGCCCAACTTCCTTGTTTCACAAGAGAAGGCTCTTGGGTAACCAGGCAGTGTAGCACCTGGGAGTTGTGGTCTCATACAGCTTCGTGTGGCAGACCCAGGGCTCAGGGATCTCCTGGAGACCCACACTCGGAAGTTCCCCTTTGCCTCACATCATGTCACCAGAAAGAGTGTAGCTAGGGAAATTAAAAGTCACTAGGTGAAGGGTCTGACCCCATGAGCCTATTTCCCCAAAACCTCTCCACTACCTGATATCTCCTGTGCCTCCTCAGAGTTTCAGGGGACATCAGACATCAGGGGACATCAGAGGCTTGCAGTAGAAAAGCAAATAAATGGCAGGAAATAAATGGCCCAGGATGCCCAGAAGACCCCCACCACATTATCAAGAATCCCATACCCTCTGTGGACACCTTGCAAGAAAGCAAATATCCTCGGGAGACCTGACCAGTGAGGAGAAATCAATGCAAACTCACTCAGACTGAGTGTGTGGTGATGGGGAGGGGCAGACGGGGGGTGACCCACAGCCTCACCCATTGATTTCCTATCTATCAGGGCCTGGCGTCACCGGCAGGCACCTTTGCCTACAGAGAGCCCGGGTGAGCAGCATCTGTGAAGGATGCCCCTGGAAGAGGGAGCAGAGACTGCCCCTGTAAAGGGTACCTTCATCTAGCCCAAGGGGCCACAGAGGACCAGGACTAGAGATCCAGGAAGCTCTGGGATGCTCCATAGCTACTGAGTGCTTTCCTCATTAGAGAAGGTACCTGCAAGCTTGGGTCAAGATACCCAAAGCACCCTCCTGTTCATAGGAGTTCTAGCCTGCATTTTGCCAGGAAATGCTGTGCACCAGGAAGCACCCAGCACACACAGTGTGTGTCCCGCTAGGATCCGCTCACAGCTTCATCCATTGCCTCTCATGGTCTAAGTGTTATCCATTGCATCCACTGAGGCTTTACCTACTCTCTCCCAGGAGACTCCCAGGAGTGGGGCCCCCAGGCATTGCCACATATTAAAGGCAAACAAAGTAAGAGCTTGAGAATTGCTGCTAGGATAAAAAAAAATAATAATAAAGTTGCTTTGCTCTTTCTACATGCCCACAGCCCCAGGCATACTTCGCACACACTAACTTACACTCTTCTTCACAGCTCTGTGAGCTAGGCACTATTGCTCCCCTAATAGTGCTGACAAGGAGCAAGGAGCACAAGAGAAGTCACGTGCTCCAAAGTGACTGGCTTCATTGCCTAGTAAGCTGCAGAGTCTGACTTTAGTCCCAGGGTAGTACTAGGGTACAAGGCCCTCTCACGTTATGATACTCTCCCAAGTATCATGTGGATTTTCAAGAGGCCCCTTGGTCAGAGCACTGTTACCACTGAGCTGTTCCCCAGCGCTGCCCAACTCCCCCCTTGCCCAACTTTAGGAAACCCAGCCCTGGGTCTGGTTGTAGGGCAGTCCACACCATTGGCTAACCAGGGGTCCTCGCTTTCTAAGTCCACTATCATTTAAATGATCTCTTCCTGCAGCTGGGAGCACCAGGAACTATCAAGCCTGGGCCACTGAAGCCAGATCCAGGATGCAGAGTCTGGGAACTGATGCATGTGGTGGCCTTTTGCTCTTCGTGGTCTGAAGATCAGGGACCCTGAATTTCAGAGACACCTTTGGAGCAGCCATTGGTGATATCCCCACTGTGGCCATACATAGTTGTAATGACAGGAAAAGAAGAGACCCCCACACCCTTTTCCCAGCCACAGGATCACCCTCAGCCCAGTCAAAAGGAACCTGGATATGGTGTAAGGACCCTGGATTCAGCCACCAGCTTGCTATGTGCCCTGGACAGTCATTCTACCCGTGACTCAGTTTTCCCTACAAACAGGACTAATGGGTTACAGTTCTGACTCCCTAAACACAGTGGCTACCTCTTCAGAGGCCATATGCCTGTCACACTGGTTGCCCTTCCTCCAGGGCCACCTCAGCTCCTGCTGCAGGTGTGGGGTCCTGGAGTTGGGTAGAGGAATAAAGACGTGGGCAAGTCCCACCCACCTCAGGGTCAGAGGGAAACCAAGAATCGGAGGAAAGTCCCATGCCCCTCCCTATCTTCTCTCCTCTCTCAGTGTGTCTTGCCCTCACCTGGGCCCCAGGCCCAGCCCAACCACTAAGTATTATTAAAGTGTATGGAGAAGATACCTACAGCCTCCCCCAGGGAAACGGCTCAACCTTACAATGAATTACTAACTCTCAGGCAGACCTTATCACTCACAGGGATATAACCTCCTGCTCAAAGGTCTCCTGGCTTCTCCTGACGGATCCTGAACAGTAAACCTCCAGCCCTGAGACCTAGGAGAAGAGGCGAGCGTCCGCAGAAAGGGGCAAGCCGGGATGCATTTCTGGAACCCTCCCATGGCAAGCATAGGCTCTACAGTCTCCATGGGGCCAGAACCCTCTGAGGCCTACAGTGGTGTTAACAGGGGGTCGCTGAGTGAATGAACTCAGGAGTGCCCTCCAGACATGGACTCAGAGACAGCTATGCGCAGGGAGGTGTTCCAAGCCCAAAGGGGCTTTGAATATCCCACCTTATTGACAAATAAATACACACAGCATCATGCTCACCGCTGCCTCCTGCTTCTGGTCACAGGCTGTCCTGCACACAGGCATGCCGATTCCAAAGGGAGCCACCAAGGTGACGGGACGGCTCCTGCTAAGTCAGTTCTATCTCGTCCCCTATCTGTTGCTCTGCAGCCCAAGCAGGCCCACCTCTGCCAGCTGTCTGAAGACCTAAGTTCAGTTCCCCGCAGGCTCACAACTGTCTGTAGCTCTCCACTCCAGAGAATCCTACGCCTCTAGCTTCCGTGGGCACCTGCACTCATGTGCTCAGAAACCACAAGCACACACACACACACACACACACACACACACACTTCTGGGAGAAGTTATCCACATTCATCATGTCCAATCCTCTGCCTCTGCTCACTCCCTAACCAGGGCTCTGTCCCCAGAAGCCACATAGCAGGCTTACCCAAGGGGCGGCAGGGATATCTCAATCCTTCTCCTGCTTGGCCTGTGTGAGCTATTGAGAGTCTTCTGTTTCCTTGGTGGTCCTCCCAATACTCTTCCAGAACCTTCTCAAGCACCTGTGCACATCCCCTCCCCTCATCTGTCCTTTAGAGACAGCAGGCAGGAGCTCTTTCACTGCCCTCACTCTGGGATTGCACCTCTGTCTTAGCTCCAGCTTCTAAACAAAGGCTCACGGACACTCCAGAATCTCTCTCGAACCACATCCTTCCCTGAACTCCATACTTGCATGCCTACAGGGCTTGACCAATGGCAGGTGGGGAGCCCCAGCGCAAGACCACATCCCCTGCCTTCTTCTACTCAAAACCTTGGCAGGCACAGGAAGCTGGGGGTCTTCCTTGGCCACTTTTTTTCTTCCCATCTCACAGGTAGTAGTTGACAAAACCTGTTGATTCTACCTTGTTCAGAAACATGCACATCCATTTTTCCTTTGTTGCCCTGTCCTGTTCCTGCCATTGTCCCTGCCTGGGGTCACAGTCCCTACAACCGAATGTCTTCCCTAGAACTCCATGGACATCATTCAATCTGATCACCTCCCTGGAAATCTGAATTAAAGCCACTCAAGCTTCCTGTTGCCCAGCAGATCTCTTTCCTTCTAGCCCCCAGCCCTTCCATTAACGATGGAAGTAACATCATCCAGTTACTTCCAGTTCTTCTTGAAGATTCAACTCTCAGGCCTGACCCTACCAGGTTTCTCCCTCCACCTGCCCACTCTTAGTATGTCCTTCACCTGGTGGTGACTCCATCCCAGCCTAGAGACAACATCTTCCCAGAAGGCTCTTTAGGTTTTTCAACAAGGGCTTAGCCGCCCCTCTAAGGCATTTCTACTATGCCCTGGGTCATTCCATAGCAACAGTTATGCCTTCCAACATGCATGTTCCCCCTTTCTTACTGCACTCCATCCCAGGCAAGGGCAACCCCAGATTCCAGACTATTCCAGTAACACCAAGCAACAATGATGCGCTCTCAATAAATGCTTGCCGAATTAGTAAATGAACATCTGGCCGAGGTGACCAATCATCCTGAAGTGTGTGCAGATCTCAAGGTCCTGTCTAGACGGAGGAGGATCAAAAAGTATGGAGGAGGTGTCACTGGGGGAGGGACTTCCAGGTTCTGCCTTGGGCAGGCTTGAGGAGAGCTTGCCTAGAGACATGGGACCTGTTGCTCATGTCCCATCCTGAGCTCTTAATGGCTGTATAAAGTGCCTAGATCAGCCATTAGAGCCGGGACCACATGAAGAGAACAAGTTTCTGGAGTCAGCTCCCAGCAAAAGGGCATCAGAGTGGCAGGGGCTGGTACCTCCTGCTCTCTATCTGCCTGGTGCCTCTTCCCTCTCCTGGGCACAACTCCATGCTGCCCTTCCTTGCATCCTGCCATCCATCCAGCTCATCCTCCATCTGTGTCATTTCCCTTCCTCTACCACCATTGTCCTCCTAGGAGGGGTCCTTACTTCCTCTCGATTCTAGCTTCTCTTATGGATTTGTATAACGGGGAGCAGATCGGATCACCTTTCTACCAAGCCCTCCCTTCTGAACCTCTGGCTGATCCATCCTCTTCCCCACCACCACCCTTCCTTAGGGCCCAGCCAGGCTTACCCTCGGTCAGCCCCAGATGGATGCTCCAGTAGATCTGCAGACACTGCAGCTCCTTCTTCATGCCCCGCTTGCAACGGCAGTCATACAGCGGGCTTTCCTGCAAGACCTCCAGGGCCGCCTGGCACTCCTTATTGGCCAGCATGGTATTGCGATCCCGGCCCGCCAGGCACTGCCGAAGGGTGCGGTACCTGGAGCTGCAGTTGGATTCAGCCGCACACAGCTCATTGGCCCGGACACAGTCCACTGGGGGGCGCCAGCCGTGGAGCTCAGAGCCCTGCAGGGAGGAAGGGCTGGCCAAAGAGCGGAGGGTTTCGTCTGGGTAGTGGGGAGGGAAGACAAGCATGAATGAGGGCTACCACAGTCTCAGACCCCAAGGCAGGCCTAAGGCTTGAAGGAACTTCTCACCCACTTTTGTATCAAAGTACACCAAGATTAAGGTCAAGTCAGACCCAACCTAGTCAGCCATGTTCCCCTACAGTCATAGTTCATATTCATTTCCTATGAGCACAATCCTAGGCAGCAGCCTTCACTGCAAACTGCAGGCAAGCTAAGATGCCGGTAGTCCAGACAGAATGCCATCCCCTCAGCAAGGAGTGGTAGGGTTTACACAGCGTGACCTCACTGCATCTCCCAACGTTCAAACCTCAGCTCCATCCAAGGCCTTGGTTTGAAGGCACTAAAAGTCAGGTAGCCTTCAGAGACCATCTGAACCTTCGAGAGACCCAAGAATCAAGCCTCGTCATCATATTTCAGGGACACTCAGGTCCAAAGAAGGGAAACAACTCAAGGTCGCACACAGAGAAGCAAAGCCCCCTCCAGCCCTTTGTCTCATCATTCCACTGTTGCTAGGATCTTAGAAGACAGCCAGAAACATGCCTAACCCTGTAGTCCAGGAGGCCCAGGAGGGGGAAAAGGAGACCCCTTTTAGGCCTTGCCTTTCCATATTTGCCAACTTCATTCCAGACAGTGGCCTGACCAAGTGGCTGCATAGCCAAGTTCCACCCCAGCCTCCTGCGAAAGAGAAGGCATTAGGCAAAGCGCAGAAGCAAACCTGCTCTCCCTGGCGATAGGGCCCTATCAGGACTTGCCTCTCCCACCTCCATCTCTCAGTTCCTCTTGCATCTTGTCTCCCAAGGGCTCTGTTCTCAAGAGACCTCATCACCTCTTCCCTTTTCCTCCCCTTTCCTTCCTTTCCTCCCTATCCTACTCTGAAATTCCTCTCTCTCTCTCTTTTTTAATTCCTTCCAAAAGCAAAATAATAAATCAATTACAGAAAAGAAATCACTCCCCTCCTTCGGGTCCTGCCTTCCAGCCTGAGCTGGCTTTAACCCACCCTTCTTATCTGTTTCCCACAGTATCCTCAGAAGGGAGGGGTTCGAAGACTGGACATGAAGGGCTTCTCTAAGCTGGTCAGACCCTTTTAAAGCCAAGTTCCCAAAATGGTTTCCTCCAGATATGGACGACATCTTCTGTCTCTATGTCCTTCCTTAACTCCTAACTTCAGACACTGCCCCCCCTCACCAAAAAAGCGCCATACCACTGCTACAGCAAAGACTGCCTTCTGCAAGACCCAAAGGATAATTTTTGAGAGGTGTTCTCTACTCTCTCCCACTCCAAAACAGAATAAAATTCTAGGCCATTAGTCCCTTCCTCGGAATACCGCAGAATCCCCCACCCGTTTCTTGCCCAGCCACTTTCAGGCCTTCTCCCTAGGAGGCCCTACTCCTGGGGGAGCTACTGCAGGGAGACAGCGACACCTACAGGTAGAACTGCACACAGCAAGCCTGTCACTTCCCAGAGCCCCCGGTGGGGGGAAATCATTCCCAGAGAGCCTTAGGCCTTCTCCCACAAGGAAACAGCAAAGGAGATGAAGGGGAGCTGGACTCCCGATGGAGGAGGCTCCAGTTAGAGCAAAGGAAGAATTCTTCTCTCCTGACCATACTCCTGCCTCATAACAGAAAGAGCTGAAGAATGTAACCACTCCGAGACAAAACAAGAGGTAGAAACCGGTACTGAGTAGGAGTTACGGGAAGCAAGGTCGGCCCAGACTCTTGTCTTAGATGTGTCCTCCACGAAAGCTGAGGTAGCAGCTTTCTTTCTAGGCTTCAGCAGATTCCAACATTGCTTCACAGGACTCTAGTGCCTCTGGGCCGCCCAGGAGCAGCTGAACCACCACACCCCCACCCCATCTCTCTGACTTGCACCTGTCTGCCTCTCTCAGTCAGTCCTGAGCTTCCACTGACTTCATCCTAGAGTTGCAGCAAGAGGTCCACCTTCCACCTGACTGAGCTAGAGGCTGGACTGTCTGAGGTGGCTTCGAATGGGACATACAGACATTCAGAGCCTTCTACTGGCTCAGAATTCACACTTGTTTAAAGTCAGCCGAGAAGCTAGCTCCAGAGAGTGCAACAATAAAGCAATTCACTCTGCCTGCCCTGCAACTGAGCCCAGAGCCCCCAGGATGCCCTGACCACAAGTCTCTGTTAGCTCCCAAGCCAATATGGAGGGATTTCCCATCCTGTCAACCGGTGTTGGTGATATGCTCTGCAGAGGACCAGGACATGCTTTCACTGACTGTCCTAATCTCTGGGACTCAGCTTCAAAACTCCCAGAAGCAGCCATGCCCAGGCAGAGAAAGGGACGCACAGCAGCCAGGGTTTGCTAGCCAAGAATCCAGAAAAGGCTGGCCTCCTGGCCTGAAGGAAGGAAACTTGGGTCTATGGAGAGTAGGCAGTGTGGAGCCGGTCCAGGAAGCACAGGGAAGGGGAGGGTGGGGGTCCAGATTGCTGTCCTGCATCCAGTGTCCCCTCAAGAGCCAGATGTGTGTGCTAGAATGCCACCGGGGATGGGCCCTCTGCCCACCCGGTCCCCACCATTTTCTACACTGCATTCCCTCCATGTGTGCCAACACTGGAAATCTGAATGGCTGGGCTAAAAGGCCCTTTCTCTCTACTGTAGTCCTCTGACACTAGATCTCACTCAGAGCCTTTGAAAAGGTATCTGAAGGCCCTTGCTGGGGCGGAGGACACTCTTCACCATAGCCCCAGCCAAACCGCCAACTTGAGAAGGAACCTCCGTTCTGAACTGACTTTCCAACTGGTTCCCAACTACAGTCTTATAGGCAGGGAAAGGGCCATTGGATTTAGGTTTCCTTCACACCGTGACTCCATCCTATCTGAGCCTTTTAGAATTCCACAGTCTGTCGTTGAGTTGAGCCTTTGCCCAGCTTTGGAGAGGGACTTCTCAAGGGAGAGGGGACTGAAGAGTCAAGACCCAAGGAGATGCCAGGCAACTCGCCCCACCCTTCCACTTTTCCCTCTTCCCATCTTAGCCCCTGGATGGTAGACGATGGTAGACATCTCTGTTGTGTGTTCACACTCCACACACATGCCTTCACACACCCGTCCACACCCATTATGTGCAGGATGCCCAGCACTTCTGTGGAGAGCTGCCTCCTCAGCTAGGAACACCCCATGTGCAACTTGGCATCTGCTACTGGAGGGGGCTGTTCTCTACTGATGTCCCTCAGAGAGGACCCCTACACTGGTATGCATGAACCCTTGATGGTGGTGGGGTACAATTCAACATCAGGCAATCTGGCAGGTTTTGCCTGAAATGCGATTTTCTTTTCTTCTTGGCTCTGAGCATTCTGAGCCCCAGAAAGCTGTGTTTTCAGACCATCAATGAAGAAAAAGGTCAAATTTTGTGACAGTTCGTTCAGAATGAGAGTCCACTTCCCTAAGGCTGCTGGAAAGGGTGGCAGGGTGAAAATGAGCCAAGAACATCTCCTATCCTCAGACTCAGTCCCTCCTACCCCACAGGGTTACTGCCAGGGTTACTGCAAGCCTGGTGAAGGCCACACCCCGGGGCAGGGCCACATCCCCTAAGAATGCATAGCTGGGAGGTAGCAAGTCTGTGAGCCTGGGAAGGGCCCAGGATACAGCCAACACTGACTCTACCAGACTACAATCGGCAGGAACAATCTGGAGGGCACTTCTTAGACCATGCACATCTCCCATAACCTCCCTGTCTGGGTTTTCCATAACCCTTACTGCTGGAGGTAAAGATGATCTTCTGATCCTTGCTTGGTAGTCTAGTTCACTCTGGACATACCAGTAAGCCATGACCCCAAGAACAGAACCTGCACAGATGTCACACACACACACACACACACACACACACACACAGACACACACACACTCTTTCCAGAACACAGAATCCACACACAGCCTTGTAAACATCTTTTCTTCGCCTGTGCAAGAGGAAATCTCTATCTATCCCAAGAAGCTGAGATTTTACAAAGTATAAGGGGAAGGGGGAGGCTCTGCTGGACAAGGGGGCTTACTGGATGAGCAGTGAGTGGTCTTTGTTAAAGCTCTGCCCCCCCCCTTTTGCATATATTCACCTCTCCATCTTCTTCTTCCCAAGGAGCAAACTTTGGCCTCCTCCCCTTCTGTTTCCCCACGCCCCTAGCTTCAAGCCCCAGGGCAGTTGCTCTGAAGGCCTTGAACACCCCTTTGCACGCCTGCTCTCTGCCTACCGGCTGACTTGGGTATAAGTGGAAAAGGAGACATTGGGTAGGAAGAAACTTGCAAAGTGCTCCCGAGAGTGAGGAAATAGGGTGCTTTCCTGAGGCTGATTGGCAAGTGGGAGGTGACTACAAGGGCTCCCCGTGAGCGTCCAAACCAGGACCTCCTGCAGAAATCCAGTGACTCAGAAGGCAACCAGGAAAGGGGGTGCTGGCGTGCTAGCTCCCAGACAGCCTTTCCCCTCCCTCCTTTCTTCCACGCTAAGAGTTGCAATTTTTTTCTTCCTAAGTTGCTGCAAATTGAACCCGTTATTTTGAGGGAAATGAGCGTTATCACCGCCTGCAAGTAAACGTGTGTGCGCGCGCGGCGGCGCGTGAGTGCGTGCGGAGATGGTTTGAATGTTGGAAGTCTCCTTCTCAGTCCTCCGCGCAACCAGCCAGCTACCGCACGGCTCCCTCCTTCAGAGCCTCCCGGGCTGTTCGCCTCCCCGGAGCCTCCCCACGGAGCCCTGGCCCTGTCTCCCAGCACGGCGGCGCTCTCCCGGTGTCTCCCGTGGCGCCCTGCTCGCAGCCCCCAACCCCACCCCCGCGTGCCCAGATTCCAGCGGGCGCCTGAACGCGCGCAACCCCGTGTGGCCCCCAGACTCGCCACCTGCAGGTACTCACCTAAAAAGAAGAAGAGGCAGAAGGCGTTTGCCAAGATCATGTTAAATAAATCCCACAGTTTTGTGTGTGCGTGTCTTTCTCCCTTAGGTTTAAAAAAATAAAAATAAAATAACAACGATAATAATAACCGCCAAGCAATGATAATGACCCCCAAATCCAATGCGGAGATCCCGAGCCGGCTGAAGATCCCGAGTCCTGGGGTTCTCGCTGCTGGTTGCAGGGGGTGGGGTGGGAGGCGGGCGGTGGGCTGCCTCTCGACGTCCCCCTTGCCACTGAAATCAAACACACGTAGCTATGTGTCTGGCTGCCTTCTAAGCCAACAGACTGGTCCCGAGGTCAGCCCAGCCCTTCGCGCGTCCGGGAAGGCGTGAGTCCCCGCGGGTCCAATTCCCCTGCACTTCCCAGGAGGGGACTGGAGAGGTGGGGATGAGGAGATCTGAAAGTGAAGGGCTGGAAGAAAGCAGCGAGGAAGGGGGTCAGAATAAATGCAAATAGGAAAGAAATCCACCGACGGATAAGGAGCAATCCAGTAGGAGCTTCTAGGATGGGAAACCAGAGTCGCTTCTTTGGCACCAAGACGAAGAAAAAGAATCAAAAAAAATTTTTCTTCTCCCGCTAACCCTTGCTCGACTCACTCACTTTTTTCTAATGGAATTCCAGTGCCAGGGTGCCTGTGCTTGCGTGTGTCTTTCTCTCCTCCCTCCCTCTGCTCTCCCTCGCTCTCGCTCTTTGCTCTCGATCTCCGCTCTCCCTCGCTTGCCTCTCCCTCCCTACTCCCTCTCTCCCTGCTCCTCCCTCCGCCCGCTCCCTCCCCCTTCACGGCTCCCTCGCCAAGGCTCTCACGCCTCGCCCCACTCCTCTGCCCCGGGCTCGGCGCTCCGGCTCCCTGGCGGCTGGCTACTCGGAGCGCGGGAGCGCGGCGGAGCAGCGACACTCTGCAGCAGCCGTGGCGGAGACTCGGCGGTGGTAGCAGCAGCGCAGCGGTGGCGCTGGCGCCAGGGAACTCTGGCCTAATGGTGAGCTCCACCACTGGTTCCCTCCGCTCAGCTGCCCACCATCCTGGGACCAGTCTGCCGCCTTGGCCAGAAACCGATCTGATCCCCGGGTTAGTGTCCACGCTCAAACCGACAAAGCCCATTAAGCCTCCACGCCCCCTCCTTCCATGAAATTTCTCGTCCCTCCTAGACGAGGGTTTGCGCCCCCACCGAGTGCCACTGCCCCTGCACTGGACCCCCAGGGCCATGAGATCTCGGCCTGGGAAAGCTGAAAGAGGCTAGGGGACACTGAGGCCCTGGTGCGGGAGCCATCCTGGATGTATGGGGGCAGGGCAGTAGAGAGAGCCCTGGCCTGGTGGAGGTCTGAAAGAGAGCATCACTCTCTGCGAGATGATGTATCCCTCGTGGGAAGCGGATCTAAGCAGCACCCCAAAGGCACTAGGGCACCCAAAGACGCCCAGTAGGCCAGCCCTCCAAGCAGGAGAGCAGCCTGCAAGCCTGGGTCTAGCCCCGCGCTCCTACACGTGTGTTCTGCCCGCGGAGCTTGGGAACTTTCACCGCACACTGGCGCCTGTCTTGCCAAACCCACACCCCCAATACACACACACACACACACACACACACACACACACACACACACACACCAGCTTTGCAGCCATTCCAGACTTTTCTTTACCATGCCCTGGATCAAAAAAAAAAAAAGGTTGTCTGGGCGTCCCAACCGCCTCCTCCCAGGCAAGTGAACCAGACAGAACCGTGCGGGAAGGAGTGCGGGAAGGATCCAGCCTGGATGCGCACTCCAACCTACTGGGGTGCCCCAAAACACAGGGCATCCAGGCCTCCACTTCCCACCTCCGCCCGGCACTCAGAGATCACTTGGGCTCCCAGGACTAGTCAGGAACTGTTGGCCCCTCCCCGCTCCCCGGCTACGAGGCTGCCGGGGACTCCTCCCCAAGTCGGGAAGGGGACAATTGATCCATCTATCTTTGGGTCCCCGCTCACCGGCGTGTTTTAGTCACGGAATTTACAATAAAAGCCCAGAAGCACCACCGAAAAAGAAGCGTTTGGCTGGGAATAGGTTGAGGGCGAAGTGAGGTTGCTGACGGAGGTGGCAGGGCAGCAAGCAGACAGGCGGTGAACACACTGCGGCGCCCTCAGGATCATACAACCCACGCACACTGGGCACCCTAATTCCATGTTCCTCTCTGACACACCCTCGGCTGGCCTGAATCACGGGCTTTTGGCACTCCTGTGCGTTGCGTGCGGCTCCTCGCACTCTGAGTGGCAGGGCCTGGCTTACGCGGTGTCTGCTCAACTTTCCACGCTGCCAAAAAAAAAAAAAAAAAAGGAAAAAATAAGAAAAAAGAATGAAAGGTAGTCAACATCCAAAACTTTTTGGTAGTGTCTTTTAAAATGCATTGTTAAATACCAGCGATAGAATAGAGGAAGTGCTAGAAATCTGCTTAGTGTGGAGAGGGTCTCTCACAAAACCAGCAGTCTTGGCTGCTTAGTGGGAGAGCTAGAGGGAGCATCTTCCATCTTGTGGATTTAGGCGGGCAGGCAGCTCTTCCCAAGTGTGGGAAGCACCTAATATGTGTCTCATCCAGCCCAAGGAAAGACAATGATCCTACACCCTACATCCAATAATACCACTGTGATGTCTGGGTAGTGAAGGGTTCCCGCAGAAAGTGGGGCGATTGCTCAGTACTGAAGCAACAGGCTTCTCTCTGTCCTTCCTCTGGGGTGATTCTGTTTTACGAAATGACTTCCCAAGGTCTCCTAGGTTCTTTCCAAAATTTGAGGAACTTAAAAAATCTGATGTCAGCCAAGTGTTGGCAAGCATAGGTTAAAAGATAAAAAGCAGACAGAGGTGGCAGCACACACCTTTAGTCCCACCACTCAGAAGGCAGAGGCAGGGGGAACTCTGTGAGTTCAAGGCCAGCCTGGTCTACAAGAGCTAGTTCCAGGACAGGCTCCAAAGCTACAATGAAACCCTGTCTCGAAAAACCAGAGAGAGAGAGAGAGAGAGAGAGAGAGAGAGAGAGAGAGAAGCAATATGAGTTATACCTCTAGGGACTCTTAGCTCAGAAGCCAAACGCTGGGAGCCTTGTCATTAAATAAATAAAGCCCTTTTCACTCACTCACCTACTTCCAGAGCCTTCTGATGGTCCAGGCATTACCTACCTCCACTCATTTGTATCCCTTAAAGATCTCCCTTTCAAGTAGACCCTAGAGACTTTAAAATTACTGCTGAGCAGTCCCTTCCTTTACCCAGCCGGTATATATCGTACCTCCATTTAGCTCTAGCTGAGTATGAGGAGGAGAGGGCTCCGAAACATCAATTTTGTCACCCGCCTATCGTTAAGTGTACTGAGAAAGCAGTAGAAGACAGCCAGGGATGAGATCTACCGAGTTCCCATGGGAACAGGGATACCAGATTCTGGTGGTAGGAGGTGAGCTACTTGAGATGCTTCAGGGCTTCCGGACCACCCAACCCTCACACTCACCGCCACCACCCTTTGGCTTGTGTGACTGTGGGACGTATTTACCTTGAATCCTTTTTTCTCCTTTCTGCACCGAGATCCACCACCATCTTCCAGTGGCCAATCTAAGCTACTGTTAGACAGAGCACAATCCATTCACCAGGATCTGCTGAGGAAAATGTATTAGGCAGGGGCCATTTAGTCCCTCTGAACCTCAATTATCTCACATATAAAGTGGAGATGTTTCCTAAAAACAACTTTGTAAAAACTTACAATACTGCACACAAAGCCGCGGGTAGAGAGCCTGACTCACCTCTTCCCTCCCGGATCCAAACTGAGAATGAGGCTATCGGATCTAAGTGTAATCAGAAGCAGAGATTAAAAAACAGCAAGGGGTCAAGAGAAGTGGAGAGTGTTTTCTAGAAGATAGGAGCAGACCTTGCATGAGGAAGTCATAGGAGACTGGGGGGTGGGGTTGGTATCCTTTGAGAGATGAGACATGACACACTTAGATACCCTATATCCCTTTCAGTTTCCATGGACCCCACCTCTCTGTATCTGTGCTTGCAGGATGGGGGAGCAGTCCCTGGACTCAGACTGAGCATCACAAGGTGCAGGAGGAGAGAAAGAGGATATATAAACCTAAATGCCTCTTCTTTGCCTGGTGGAGAAGATTCTCTCGAAAGCAAGAGCGCTAAGGAGTAAGAAGGCACAGAGTAATCCATCCATGCATAGCGTAGACTCTCCTCCTTTGGTATAAGGAAGAAAGCTGTGGGTTCCCTTGTCCTATAGGTGGAAACCAACGAAGAAGAAGAAGGAGAAGGAGAAGGAGAGGAGGAGGAGGAGAAGGAGACGGAGAAGGAGAGAAGGAGGAAGAGGAGGAGGAGGAGGAGGAAGAGGAGGAGGAGGAGGAGGAGGAAGAGAAGAAGAAGAAGGAGGAGGAGGAGGAGGAGGAGG